TGTTTTTTAAGCAACACACTGATTTCTCAATATTGAGTTGAGGACCCATTTACTATAAAACTAACTATATTATTCTCATTTTTAAGAGAAATAGAAGCCACACATATATGAACCTCTCTGTATATACTTCAATACACAAATTGACTTTTTTTTCAGCTTAGATTTATTTCAGAAAATTTTAAGAAATGCCAACAAAATCTTGACTCCTGCAAACATTGCATGGTTTATTACAGCAGTTCAGGAGCTTCTTTTATATTATTCCATAAGCCTACTTCAACAACAGAATAGTAAGAACTTGCAATGTATGGTTAGTGTCTTCACTCTTCAAAATTTATACAGCTGTCTGCAGGCTATGTGATCTAAAATATTTCATGCAAAGAAGTGAAGAAAATGAAAAATCCATTCTTTTAAAAACAGAGAAAGAAGCTTACTGCTTTTTCTTTATTCCTAGTTCATGTTCACAAAGGTAAAAACTATGAAAGCTTTAAATGGTAGTACAAAAGTATGCACCAGAATTCATGAAATACAAGCTTGTAGCAAATAGCAGATTCATGAATAAAAGAAGCCCCTTTTAATCTGTCTGCCTCAGTGTGTGTGCTGCTGTTGGCTTCATGATGGCCTCTTCTACAGGGTACATATCATGAAGTAGAAGCTCAGTATAAGGTGCAGAAGCCCTAACCTTTATTATATTTACCAATTAAGTATCTTAAGTTCATAAGATCAGCCTCCAATATCTGTGTCCTCTAGAAAATTCTCACCACACTCTTCCATTAGAAACAGCACAATCAGACCTCCCCTTCCATCCCTTTGGTAATCAGTGCAGTCATGCAGTGCTGCACTCTGTGTGCTGCTGTTTACATTGCCAAGGCATGTTCAAGTGGCTTTCTGACTGGCTACTTCTGGTTCCTGTGCCATAATACACTGTGGAGCTAAGTCTAGACCTGTCTTTCATCTGCACTGAAGAATAGTCATGTCAGTGAGAGATGTAAGAGACTTTAAAAGAGGAAAAAAGGAGCAGAGGAATACTCTGTCCCATTGTAAGTTCAGGTCCATTATAACTGTTTGAATTTCAGTTTATCAGAAATTACAAGATCATTCTTCATCCTTCTGGAAGTGCTACAAGACTCTTAGTGAGTAGTTCAGTCTCTCATGTCTGTTCTAATTGTTGTGTCTGTGTCCCTGCATGCAGTACCAGGACACTGGTTCAGCACTGGCTCTCCACTGCACCATCCTACAGGATTTGTCTCTTCCCTAGACATCTTCCTTCTTATGGACTTGTATTGTCCAAATTAGTCTTTGGGATTCAAAATTATTTTTCCAGGAAGTGGTATGGATTTAGAACACCAAGTGATTGCTATGTTGTTTTTAAAATGCTCACAAAAATGGGTTAATGGAAACAGTCTGAAAGGTCTAAAAATATCCCGACTGATTTTTTTTCCCCTTCTTTCTTTTCCTTTCATCCTGAATATTGATAGGCCTTGTTTTCAGCCCCCAGACTCCTGTTTGCTATCCCACATTATACTGTGTCATGTAAATGCACACAGTTTAAGGCAATACTACCTCAGGCATCCCTGCCCAGTACTCTCAGGAAGAAGGTAAGTCCTCTGCATCTCTTTTGGAGCAATGTCATAGAGATAAGGACAGCACACATCCAGACTATTAGTCAGAGACACCTCCTTCCTTTGTCATACTGTCACCCGGGATAAAAGTAATGGCAAAGGAAGACCCTGAAACCTTTGCTATGTGGACTGCTCTGAATATATCTTCAGGGTTTGTGGAGAGCATGAGAAGGATGGGCATTGCCAGGGAAGGGTAAGAAAGAGGTGGAAGAGATTAAGACTGCAGAGGGCAGGGAACAAAGAGAAGGTCACCCATACTTACTATTTCCACTCATCCATACAACATGACAAAAGGAAGACATTAAGGCAAATATTCAGCCCATTTATCTTCTGCAATTGCCTGCATATCCATGCTGTTCTGCAAGGAATATGCACTGTTGTTTGCACTTACACACACATACACAGCTCTGGACTATTTATAGAAACGGCACAGGCTTTAGAGAAAGCCAACCAGATTTTCTGAAGTCATTTTAGGGGGCTTGTTTCTTTATCCACATCAGCAAGAAGGGAAATCAATGGTTAGTGTAGCTGAACATCTATTCTTACATTGTTGCTATCAGTACAATCACGCAAATAAACAGATGCACACTGGTATTTGTTTTTAAAAAAAGTATACAGTAAGAGTGGTAGCCATAGTAAAGAGCTGTACTAAATAAAAAACAAACTCCCAAATTTTTCAGTTGCTTGAAAGTAACTGCATTCATTTTGTTAGTCACAAAAGTATTTATTTCACTCATAGTTCTGTGTTTGGTTGCTCTAAGACAAAAAGTCAGAGCTCATTTCACATTTTGAGAAGTGGCACAGCAAGTTCTACAGAGCTTGCTATGTCCTTGCAAAACAAGGGTGGGCACAGCACATCTTCAGGAAAGGTGAATTCAATAGAACATACTGACACATGATTTACACAGGATTGTGGAAACTGCATTTACTTTAAAAGCCAACTTTGAAGTGTTGCTCCACAACCAGTATAGAAAAACCCAGAGCAAATAGACTGATAACTTTATAACCACTACCAAGATTCTCTCTTTTAGGGACAAGTACAAATGCAGGAGCACAAATGCATTGTCAGTTCATGCATTTAAACTTGGACCTCTGCACAGTTTGAACAGAGAAGCTGCAAAAATAAAATGCAAATAATTGTGAAATAGTAGCACCTTTATGAGAAATATTAAAAACTAAAAATAGCTGAAAACTAACGTCAGTCATATTAATAAAGATGAGATATTTGTTTATTTGCTTTAAAGACTAGTGAACACTCCTAACCTGAAGACCAATAATGGGGTGCTAGATGCTTTCATCTGAAGGAGGGTGAGTCAGCAATGGTCAGTGACAGATACTTTGTACTGGGATAATAACAGTCAGAAAGCATATTTTTCAGTATGTTAATATTGGTGAAAATGCAGAATTATTGCAAAGATTGAAATTGAAAAACTACTTAAGTCTTCACCTACTATCTCATAATCCACCCCTAAAAATCAAATAAGCTTCTAGGAACATAACACTTGTTGCAAGACCCATATGGTATTTTAGGAAACACCCACAGTTATGAACTTGACTTACACGGGAAAAGCACTTGTTGGTGAGGAAAGTCTCAGAATGAAATACAGCCTGTTTCAGTATGGGCAGAGAGGAGAAAGGGCAGCAGAGACATACATAATAAAACACAAATGCTATATGGACACTTTCAGGAGCAGACTTTGATTCCTTTTATCTTTTCCCAAGATAATATATCCATGCCAGCATTATGGGAGCCTGTAGATGAGTTGGGTCAAGATCATCGTAGTTCACAGTCAGTACATGCTCACCCTGGAACTCTCTGAAGGGCTCAAAGTCTTTCAGCAACACAAGGAAAATCACAGATGGAGAAAATGCCTTTTCAACATGAGCCACTAAAATGCCTGAGCAACCAGACAGGAAAACTGAGAAAATAAAATTAAATTCTTGAGTGTGACAATAAAATTGCTGCTGAAATCTCTTTTCTTTTCCTGCAGTGGTAAGACCTGTCTGACAGCTAGATTAAGAACATGGGAATGGCCATAACAGGTCAGATCAAAGGTCCATCTAGCCTGGTATCTTCTTTCACAGAGTTGCAAAAGCAGAAAGAGTATAAAAATAGAGCAAATTATATTTGCCTGAAATACTAACCCAGACTTTCAACAACTTATGGCTTAAGGGGTTTCTGAAATAAAATTTATTTCAGGGATGAGTTACAAAGTGTGTGCGTTAAAAAAGGAAAAGAAAAGCAAAAGAAAAAAAGAAATCTTTGTTTAATTTGAACATGCCACCTGCTAACTTTGTCTGATAGCTCCAGGTTGCTGTACTGGAAGAGACAAGTAATAGTTGCTCTCCATTCAGAATTTAAATGATACTTGTGATTTTATTACTTGGATCCTATCTCCCCTCAGCCAGCTTCTGTCCAGGGCAGAGTCCAGGCCTGCTTAGGTAGTTCTGTAAGAGATGTGTCAGAATTGCAGAGATACTCTAGATGGAAGCAAATGAAAGATTTGAAGAGTGGCATATTAACATACTCTATTTCATTCCCTTTTCCCCTCGTGGTAATCCCTAACAATTTGATGTGGCAAAGCATTTTAGGAAAATCTGGACATTAAGCCTGCTTTAAAATTGCTGATGGATAGTGGAAACTGGATCTTTAATATGTGCTGTTCATAGTGATGCTTCTTGGGTGCAGGGAAAACGTAAATGTAAGGAAAAGCCAAGAGGGAAGGAGGGAGAGGAAGGGAGGGAAAGGAGGCAGGGAGGGAAAGGAAGGAAGGAAGGAGATCGCTGTAACTTGTATCTGCCCATTTTCGGCTGCCACATCATCTGCAGAAATCCCTGGTATTGTGGCAGCATCACAACAGCCAGTCCTGCAAGCACAATTCAATAGTGCTCCTGAAATCCATGTAGGGATAAGACCATGCAGGGAATCCTGTGGTCCAGATTAATTTCTTGGAAGCAGGAGAAGTCTTTTTGCACACATTAGGCAAATAGAGTTTTAGGATAAGTATGATGCATTATAGCAGTGAAACATCTTGTTTCAGGATATAAAAGTTTTATAGAAAATAGATACCATGTAATTTTAGAAAATGCTTGTAAATTAGCAGATACTCTAGAAAATACTCCTAAAGTCCCCCCAAACAATTAATTGCTATTCTCATGTACACTTTCATAAGGGACCTGGAAGAAGAACCAACAGTGCCTGTAGAGAGCATTGGTTTCCTAAAGTTGAAATTTTAAAACACATAAATGAATTATGTATTTTTGTGTGTTCTCAGTTGTTTTGGTCAGTAATGCTAGGATTTGCATGAATCAGGGCTGCAGAGAATGGGCTATAATTTTGATGAATTACTGATGTTTTTCCTGTCCAATTTCTCTCGTCAGTGTTGCTGGTAACAATCCTTGTAGTGGAAGGGATTGCCGTTGCACAGAAGACACAAGGTACAATTTTAGTTTGATGATTTTCTGTCAAAAAATGTAACAGTTTTTAATTGAGCAATATACATGAAAGTACTTGTGTTCAGGTATTCATAGCTCTTGGATTACCAGTATGAATTCTAGTATTTTCAATTTTCCCCCATTTGCTGTATTTTCTTGTGAATGAACAAAGCAATCCAGTCACAAAGAACTTGGAAGTTAAAGTTCTATGGTTTTAGATGATAGAGGTGGGAAAGAAACCACCATGGGAATTCATGTTTTCTGTATCTGACAACAAGCTTTTCAAATAGTCCACCCCCAAACATTTTTGAAGACTGCTGAGTGGGGAAGGCATCGATTTCACAAACCTTATTTTCTCGTATGTGAGATTAACCCACACTTAAAAGAGGAGAAGAATTCCTTGAACTGACACCTACAGAATTTCCTTGGAAAATTTCTGCAGGAGAGAGAGTTTTCACCCTCATAAATCAAGAAGCTGCCAAGATACCAGTGGAAGGTGATGTAATTTAGTGGAGGCTGCTAAGACCTGTATCAGTATTGGGTGTCCTCTCAAAGGTCTGCAAATTAAAACTGCACAGATATAGTTAGATATTAACAAACACCTTAGAAGAGGGTTTTCAACCAAAATAAATTACTGTCCTCTTTTATAAGCTGGGTGTCATGCCAGTGTTTTACTTTTGCAATATCAAACCTGCATGCTTGCAGAAGAAATTTGTTATATCACTTTTTTTTTCGCTTAAGGTGGGCAGAATATTGGAGTGAATCGCATTCCCCCCACCCAGTGCGACAACTGGGTACGGACGAGTAATGGAGGACATTTTACTTCACCAAACTACCCAAACATGTACCCCCCAAATCAGGAGTGCATCTATATCTTAGAAGGTACATGCTGTATTTCTGTTTTGTTGTGCTGTAATCTTACTGTTAAATGGATAATCTTGAACTGTTAGGACTGTGTCATTTTACAATGCTGTGAAGTCTTGCATAGCCATACTGGTAATATAATAAATTCTGCATAAATTTACTTGAACAAGAACCTAAATTTGCTCTCTGAAGTAATAATAACAAACTAATAAGAAATGCAAACATTAAAAAATTAGCTGTAGGGAATAAGACATACCCTCACAACCAGAAAAAGCAGCATCAGATCTACTGTAATCTATGAAGACACAGAACTATTAAGATAAAAATTGTAGCTTGTTATCTTAATATCACTGATAATAAACAGCAAAAGAGGAAGACTATTTTCAGACCATACTGTGTTAGAAAATCGTTATGCTGTCCTTCATTAATAAAAAAGATACATGTGACTGCCATAGCACTGTACTAAAAATACAGAGATTTGTTAGCACTGCCGAAGGCACTATTAAAATAATGTGATGAGGACAAAAAAATGTCATTAACTTGAATAAAGCCACATTCCAATGAGAATATCTTGGATAAAGGCTGCAAGACTTGAGACATTCTAATTATTTTTCCTCTTATTAGAATGCACCCACAAAACCCACTGAAGTCAGCTAAAAATATTAGTCAGCTTAATCATCTGATTCATATCAATTAATTGAAATATTTCAAGTAATAGGTTTCAGTGAGTTTTTATTTGTACAGTATAGTGGTGGTTCACAGACACCCTCCTTTTTGCATGTACACATGCACAGTTTAAGTTTTGAGTCCTGCCTGACCGTGAGGGCACCAGAGAACACACACAGCCTGTCCGGCTTCGGGGTCAAACGAGGCAGTTGACATGGGCACAGAATGAGCTCCCAAGCCTCTCCTCACAGTCCTGACACAGAAACATTGTGGGTACCCGAGTGAGGCCAAGGCCCTCCAGAATTTCTAGCCAAGATCTGTCCCTTCCTGCAGCCCACGACCAGTGTGCACAAACAGCTACAAATGTGTGTAACTCATGTATAAAGAAGGCGTGAGGTCTGAACGGAGCGTTAGAGACACGTGAGTAAATCCTTTTTGCATTCAGAGAAAGCAGCCAGCGTGGGATTCCTTAATGCTGGCACTCCAGATACCAGTGAGTATCTGGAAGTTCACATAGCTCAAGAGATGCCAAGAGCAAGGAACACAAAAGTTATTCACACAGTATAAAGCCATGGATGTGAAAGTCCAGTCTCAAAGTAGTCATAGCTGCATCTCATCAGGATTTAGGGGTCTGATCCAAATCCTGATATTAGGCTGCCACTGATTCAAACTTGCCAACATCTGTAGCCACCTGCATATTAATAACATATTTGAAGCTTTTACACTTCTCTGAATAATCTAATAAAAGATGTCTTCTGCCAATGGATCTGCAAATTTGGACTTTAAGAAATATACCAGTGAGTAGTTCTTCATATCTTCCTCTTTTCCATTTTTTTCTGCATACCTCACTGTTTTGTCCTATACTGTGTATTTTGCTTTCACATAACACTGGTTTTAATTTATATCTTAATACTAAACCTTATTTGAATACCTCTGCACATATGTTAATATGTTACATGTGCTGCATTAAATTTATGCCATTTCTGAATTCTCAACAATGAAGATCAGCAAACAAAAAAACCCTGTAAAACTCTATGCAAAAGTATCTTTTACAAAATAATTTAAAAAATTTTTATTACAGTGTATCTGAGTTTTTGTAGGAGACTGCCAGATATATTTTGAGAAGTTTCCACTCTCTTTTTTATGTTGCTATTTTGGAGGCCTGTCTCTTCATTATTTCACGTCTTCATGTTTTTTTATCTAGACCTTCATTTAATCTTTTGCTCGATTTTTTTATATCTAGCTGCTCCACGACAAAGAATTGAGTTGACCTTTGATGAACCTTATTACATAGAACCCTCATTTGAATGTCGGTTTGATCATCTGGAGGTTCGAGATGGACCTTTTGGTTTCTCCCCTCTCATCAATCGTTACTGTGGTTTGAAAAGTCCTGCGCTAATTAGATCAACAGGGAGATTTATGTGGATCAAGTTTACGTCTGATGAGGAGCTGGAAGGAAAGGGATTTCAAGCAAAGTACTCATTTATACCAGGTAAAGATGTCTAAAATCCCAAGTTAATGAACCCTGTGGGTGTGTTTGAGCTCTGTCTAGAGCTGCATTTCATCATTAGTGCTTATGCTGTCACACAGTGACAGTGTGATGGTCACAGTCTCAGTCCCACTTGGGATACTTGACTAAAACCACTTTGGAAAGTTGACTGAAGGAAATTACAGGTCTGTAGTTTGCTGGTGAAGAGGACAGTTGATCTTGTTCGTGCTGAAGTCTTCAGCAGCATCCTTCTTTGTTCCTCTACTTTGTACCAGTTTTACCAGTGGTAGTAATGGAAGGAGCCTCTATGCACACCAACAGCTGCATTTTCAACAGCCTGTCCTCCAGGAGCATGAGACACTGACAAAAACACTCAAAGCAAATCTGCAATTGCACTCCAGCCAGATGCAAAACATTTTAAATCTCCATTCTGAAAAGCCAGAGGACGTTTCTATACAGTCCAAGCATCAGCTCTCAGTAGAATGACATTCCCTCAATCCACAGGCTCAGACAACAGAGCTGCTCTTTGGTCACAGTAGTGTGTAGTTTACAGGGATGAAGGAGAGGATAATGTGCTGACAGTGCCTTTACACAAACAAAAAGTACATCTGCTCTGTGGGGCCACTAAAAAAACTGGCAAGGCATTATTCTTACATGAAAATCTGACCTGATGTCCTTGTGCAATGCTTGACTACTGTACTTCATGGATACTACATGTGTGGTTATCAGCATTTTATTGTCCTTTGGGACAAAAGGCAATATAAAAGTGTCGGTTCCATTCCTTTTACAAATGTATACACAGGCATAACTTAATGTCACCTTTACCCAACTGGTCTTTACCCCTACAGCAGATGAATACACTATCTATGATTATGTGTTACTGCTTAGGGATTTAGACTTGGAAACTTCAGATAAACGTGGTGGCCAGTCCACTGGGAATAACATGCTAAAATGTTCCCATAGGGACAGTACTTGGGCATTTTGCTAAGTCCATTTCCAAAGGCATTTCATAAACATCACTAAATTAGCATAGTTCCAGGTGGAACTTCAAATATACATTTAAACGTGTCTGTGCTGATTTGTGAGGAAACACTAACCTGATCACTGAAGTGCAAGCCTTGGATATCCCAGCCCATTACAGACTCACTTTTAGCCAATTTCTAGTCTCAGTAGATCAAGTACCATCAGTTAACCATTATGAAAAAGTATATTCTTATTTTACTAGTATTGTGCACACTGTGTACTACTACAGGTTTACTACAGATGTGTACACTACCTACACATCACATTGAGGAGAAAGGAGATGGAGGAGGAATCAAGGTGAAATTCTGCCTTCAGAAATGAGGTCTCGAATTGCACTACCTGGCCTAGTAGAAGAGATAAAGGTACTCAGGGAATAAGTATCTTCAGGATTGAACTGTTCTTCTTCACATTCTTTATTAACAGCAGTTACCAATTTCAAAGTGTTGATATGTTCTGCTAAACTCAGTTCAAATTGTTCAAAACTAGACAGACAGCAGTCTGATAAAATAAATCTAGGTAACCTTTCTGCACACAGAAAGATCCCCTATACTCTTGTGGAGCTCCAGCAATTTCAGTGAAAACTGGAATAGTTAAATTCAGAACATAATGTAGGAACAAAATACTGAATAGTCATTTTTAGTGTTATGCTAGAAATGTGAGCTGCCAGGATAGAATTGCCTTATTCTGATAAGGTCAATCATTGTGGAATAATGTTCTCATCTAAAAAAAACTTTGCCTCTTTCCCCTCCAATTGATTCAGTAGACTTTCTGGTAATTTTTATTGTGCCGTACTAAAAAATGGACATAATCTGCAGATAATACTAAACCTTGAAGTGATTCTCGAGCACTGATAGTCCTTGTGATTCATGGCTTCTTTCTATTGCAGATCCTGACTTCACTTACCTAGGAGGCATTTTAAATCCCATCCCAGGTCTAGTATTACAGTAACAATTTCTTTATACATGAAATTTTAAATTAATATCATACTGTATTTGACAGCAAGGTATATCTTCTCCCTAGACTGCCAATTTGAGCTCTCAGGAGCTGATGGAATAGTACGTTCCAGTCAAGTAGAACAAGAAGGAAAAACAAAGCCAGGACAAGCAGTTGACTGTATATGGACAATTAAAGCTACTCCAAATGCTAAGGTGGGTTTTGTTCACATAATTCAGTATATAATGTGTTTCCATGACATTCATAACAGGGAATGGTCACTAGCTGTGATTTGCATAATTCCTTACTTTCACCAAAATGAGTTATGTATCAGTGGTTTAGGAAATCCAGATAGATAATTGTTTCTGAAATAAAACTTACACAAGTCCACAGAACTGTCTTCCTATTATTTGAAACTTCAAATACCAAATAACTGTGAAAACTGTTTAAGCAACAATTTTCAAGAGCATTTGACTTGAACTCTGGTTTTATTGGAGGACTGCAGGCAAAAATGCTGGCTAACACCTTTGATAATTCCCAGTAAATCTCACTGCCATGGTTTAGCATTTTACCTCCCGTGGTTCTGTTGGAGAATTTGGTTCTGTTCAAAGTCAACGTGACACGTGTCTGCTTCTCCCATCTCATTCACAATCCAGCACCTTAAAACCCACTTTCATCAGCAGTCTGAGCTAAAAGGAAAGGCTCAGCTTTCACCTGGAAACAGCTGAGAAATTATCGCTCTTCTGACTTCGCTAGAGGATCACGATCTCTTAAAGTGCCTCAATAAAATTTGCTGGACCTTTTCTGCCCAAACCCTAAAGGGGCATTATCAGCTGCTGGAGCCAGAAATCAGCATTAGTTACTCAGGTACCTGCTATTTATGATTGTGCTGCAGAACTAGAGACTGCTTACAAAAACATCACTGTCTTATGCTCATTAAAAAACTCGAGATTTGTTGTTAGGCAGAGAGAAGGGTAAAATCCTATTCACAATTCCAAAATACAATAGCTACAGCCTGTTTAAAAAAACCCAACAGCTACACGTTTCAGAATCATGTATTTGTTAATTATGAGTTGCACAGAAGAGTACATATTTTTATTTTTTATAGCATATATATCTTTAATTTTGCTTCTGCTTGCATGTACATAAAAGTTAAAAAATATTTCTAAGCAGTAGCTGCCAAGATGACAAACCTCTCTGCCTTCTTACACACTCCTTGTAGTTAACTAACCAGCCCTATTAACCAACTTCCAAGTGCATTCTAAAACACCAACCTAAAAGATGATAATAAGAGGACAAGACAAGAAAGAAAGTAAAAGTCCATTAATATATTTGAGCCTTTGAGGAAGTGACTCAACTCCCAAGAGCCCTATCCTAGTCTAAGTAATAGCAGTTCTACCAGAAACAATAATAAAACCATTTTCTCTCTACATTGCCACTTGAGTGCACCAGGTCTTATGCTTAAGTATTTTAATAAATTATTGAATGCTTCTAGAGGGCAGAGTTATAGTTCGGTGAGTCCTGAGATTAGATCATCACCCTAAATTATTGATTTAAAACATTACAGAAAAATAATTCTTAGTATTCTGACAGTGGTTTCTCAAGCTTCAATTCTGGTAGAATTATGGTGATAAAATCCATTAGATCTGATATGGTTCCCTCTTGAGAAAAATAACCATAGACATTTTTAATTTCCTCAATCTGATTTTATAATAAAAATAAACTTTTAAAACTGACACAACTATAGCAATTAAAGTACCTTTAAAATCTGCATAACAGAGAAGCATCTGTTATATATGTAATAAATTGCCTCTAGATTTCAGAAAATTACAAGGATAATCAATATAATCTAAGAGTGAGGACCTTTTACATTTGCCTAACGCTAACCCAGACGATCTTGGGAAGAAGTGAGGGCTTTTAATGGAATTATTCCTTTTTTTCATACAAATAATAGCTCTACTACACATGTACTAAATTATTTTTAGTTTTCATTGTAATTTTGTAGCAGATATATAAAGTCAATCATTAAGAGAAAATACCATCTCTCAGTCCAAATACTAGCACTTACAGCTCACACCCACGTTTGTGAGATAAGACATCAATGGAAGACAGGCTCTCAGTGTAGCTGAGAATTTCCAGCAGTAAATCTAACAGAAACAGCAGGGGGCAAAAAAAGAAAACAGGAAAAAAAAGGGTACACTGAAAATCACAAAACAGTGAGGTGAAGCATGAGATGATATGGCACAGGCTGCACCTTGGACAGAAGGTGCAAGGGAAGGCAGTGCTGGCAACCTGCCTCTGGAAGCACTGGGAAGGAAAAGCCAGGGGGTACAAATGTCACCTGTCTTTCCCTGTGCTCTTTTACTGTGTCTTCAGGAAAGCCTGTTAGGTGTATGGGGGGATGTGGTGTGTATTTTTTTTCCCCACACACAAAGGTGGTTAATTTTATTTTAGTGAATTTTTTATAATTCAGTTTTGAAAGGCTTTGGCACTCGCTGGGGTTAAAAGCAAGATATGGCAAAAGGGCAGAAAACCAGGTAAATAGAGCAGATGCAGGTGTGGGATTCATCCACCCTGACTTCCTCATTCACAGCCTAAACAGGACTTGGAGATTCTTCTCATTGGGCAGAGATCCATAAAAACCCACACTGTGCAAAAAAACTCCTTTAGCATCCATAGCACGGGCCAGAGAGGTGATCAGAGACGGTCCTCAAGACACACACAGGCTAGAGCCAGGCTGATCTGAGCACACAGAGCTCATGGATACAGGAGGAGCAGCTTTTCTCTCACAGAGCAGGAGACCTCAGCCTCCACCTGGACAGATTTCTTCTCTCAAAACAAGGGCTATCTGACAAATTTTTAAAGTTGAAAATGGCCTTTGCAGCATGCATAGATGACCTAGTTTAATATCTCATAAACTTTCACTAGAATTCTGAGAATTCCAATACAACCATTTAAGAGATTAAAAAGCCCTTATGATGTGTTCATGTCATTCTAACTAAATCACTATCTTGCACAAGTTTCCTGCTCCAGCAAAATAAATTATTTCCTTACTCTTTAAGTACCATCTCAATCTTCTAATTTCCTTGCTGCACATGTTCAAACACATATGCTGCCTTTTCTTGGATTAGATTTCTGCTTTTTGAAGAATTAAGATTAGCTTAAATTTATTACCTCTTCCTACGTAGCCAGCTTACTTTTCTCTCTCAGTTCCATTTTTATTCAAATTACTCCTGACTTCATGGTTTGTGTCTTCCATAACACTGCTATGGTTCAGTAATTAGCTTTCATTCTGAAGCAATAAATTTTAATTTCCTTATTTTACTTCAGAGCTTTTCTGACTAGACTCCTTCCCTTATATTTTAACATTATTTTTATGAATTAAAAAGAAAAGAGAACAGTCAAAATACCATTAAAATTATTTCAGCACATTTATGCATTCCTTGTATCTCTTTTAGAGTAATAGACTTCCCATTTAGCAGAGCTGCTTGGGGGTTTCTTCAGCAAGTGTGCTGCTTTGTACTTTTTTTCCAAAGGGAGCAGAAATATATCAAAGTAAATTGTTAAATAAGGACTGTTTTGGGGAGTGGGAAGAAGTGAAACAGATACCGAAGACAAAATTTCAGGTAATACTCCACGTGGACATTTAGTGAGAAAATGTAAGTTTAAAAGAGTTGTGAATTGGGAGTTACCCATATTTGTAAGGGAACAATACATCTTATTCAATATTTGCTAAGAAAGAAAACTGTCTTCTCTGTGTTACTTTCCCCAGAGACATTAATCTCTCTTCTCTAACAGATCTACATGCGGTTTCTCGACTATCAAATGGAGCATTCAAATGAATGCAAGAGAAACTTTGTGGCTGTGTATGACGGGAGCAGCTCCATTGAAAACCTGAAGGCCAAGTTCTGCAGCACCGTGGCCAACGATGTGATGCTGCAGACGGGGACAGGGGTGGTGAGGATGTGGGCAGACGAAGGCAGCAGACTGAGCAGGTTCAGGATGCTGTTCACTTCATTTGTGGACCGTAAGTAGATTTTAAAGTGCCTGTTCTCCTGTTATCAGGACACTTCAAGTGTTTTAGGGAAAGCATCAGCTGTGTATTACACAGCAGGAAGACATGAAAAAGGTTGTTTCTGTTTCTTTCACATACTAGCTGGTGAATTAGATAATTGCTTTATTACAGCTGTAAGGTGGTTCCTGAAGAAAAGCTTTCCTTCATTCTTAAAAGGCTTATTTTCCATTTGAATTCAGCAATAATACTGCCCTAGGCTATGTCCTTCCCACAAACAGTTCTACAAAAAAGCACAGACTTACTTCAAAAAGACAACACGGACTGGAGTGAGCTCTCCCACTTGCCCCCCCACCTTCCAGTTCCCTGCCAGACACCACAACAGGCACTTCTCAAGCCCACACGGGATGTTCAGAAGGCTGGAAAACATGCTCGATCTCCTTCCTATCCGCAGCTCTGCCTTCAGTTTCAGATCTGGAACTACCCTACTCCACCTGAGCTGCTCCCTTTTCCTCGGCTGCATATGGCTCTAAGAGGTTTTTTTGTTGTTGAGTTTGGGGTTTTTTTCAGGGGTTTGGTTTTTTGTGGTTTTTTTTTTTAATGCAAGAGGTTGAAACACTAAGTACTCCTAAAGCTAGATAACTTTCCAAACTTAAGATTTTAAAGCATCTCAAAAATCTTTAGGAGAAGAAAATCTGCAGAGGTATGTGGTTATTCTTTTTTACTTGGATACTGCCTTTCTTGGCAGGTAATTGAAAAGTATGTGGCTGAAAAATGTATCATGTATTTTTAAACAATCTAGTCATAAACAATTTTTCAAACTGAAAAAGGTGAATTCACACATTTTCAGATTGTTAAGCTATCTTTCTCTTCTACCTTACTAATGATTTGTAATTATATGAAGCCAACCATGAAAACGATCAATATTTTTGAAAATATTTACATAAATGAACTAATTGTGCATGACAGTCACCTGACACACACCTAGTGCTACTTGCAGATTTGACTAAGTAATTCAGCTAAGAGCAATGTTAAAAATCAATGTATTTGATTTCTGGCTTGATTCAATACATGAATAATGCTGGATACAAAGGACACTGTGAACATTGCACCATCTTAGGCAGCTGGTATGAGAGGAGTCCAGCTATGTCCTTGAAGTCCTGGACTGGAACTGATCAATCATTGTGACTTTTAGTCTTCATACTCCTCAAATAACAAACAAAAGGAAAATTCAGTCCATTTGTCTCATCTTTAAAAACTGTGGACATCCCCACAAAAAGTTAGAGACTACACAAAAATGTACAATAGAGACTGTGCTAGTGGATGGAGAAGCAGCAGTAAAAAAGATCAACCAAAAATACAGAACCACCTGTTCAGGGAAATAAGAAAGGGAATGTCTTACATTCCTGTTTATTCCTCTGGGCCTCCAAAAGAACTACAACTCTATACAGGTCCATATCTTCCTATACGGAATTTCTTGCCAGATTGCCAGGTTTAAGCAGTGACAGAAAGCTAATACAAAGGCTTAAAACCAATGAGTGTAGGTTACCAGACTTAGTGGAGTAAGAAATGGGAAGACAATGTGTATTAAATTTAGGGAATGCAAATTCAGAATTAAAGGTTTGAATTTTTTTTCCTTAGGCATAACTCCACTTTTTGTCACTGAGACTCCAACAGAAGGCATAAGTGAGAAATGCAGTATTCAGGAGTAGTCATTCCCCTCTGCTCTACCCTTTGGATTTTCCATTATGTTTCAGAGAATCCAGACTGCTCAGGAATAAATTCTTTTTATGAAACGAAATAGTAGAATGTCTATCACACATCTTTGCTGTTTAATATATAACTGAATCCACTAATAATAAACATTTCCATGATGAAAATACCACATTACTGAAACAGAAAGGGAAAACCAATTTCTTGTCCAGTGTCCTGAAATCATAAATAATTCTCTATGTATATTATACAACACCCTGAAAAGAATTATTACTATTTTTTAATATCTTTTTTCCTAAAGTCAAGGAGCTATAACAAATATTCACAAAAACATAAAATCTCCACGGCAGCTTTCTAGTTAATTTCTTTCTTCAAATTTCTTACTATATATAGATAGATAAAAAGCTAAACTGTACTCTCTCAATCCCTGCATTAGCTCTAATAGGAGGATCCAAGAGCTTTTGATTCAGAAGCAGGAATGACTTAGATGCCTCCAGTTATTGAAATCTCTTGCAATTACTGAAACAGCCCTCCACAAGCTGAAATCTGATTTGCCTTAAGATATTAATGGGCTCTAAAATGCAGATGTTCAGGGGCTGCCTCACAACATCCACACAGCAGATGCACAGCAGAATAAATATATAATTGATGGTGAGCATGAGATTTTTAAGTATTAAGTTTTTAAAGGCACAAATCAAAGCCTTCTTCCATTATCTCTATTTTGTGACTGTCTCTATCTGGTACCTACCCTACCCACTTGGAGCAAGAATTTTTTTTGTAGCATAGACAACACACCTGAAAGCAACCACATGGAGAGAAAATCATCTGACAATTAGTGATGTGTAAGAAAAGCAATTGTATTCGAAACAAAGATAAAGAATGTGCTAGCATGTTAAAAAAACAAACATGAACTTAATAGTTTTATTGCTACGCATCAATTACTGAAAATTCTGAATGTTTTCTTTCTCCTCTTCCCTGCAGCTCCCTGCTCAGGCAACACTTACTTCTGCCATAGCAACATGTGCATCAATAATTCTTTAGTCTGCAATGGCATCCAGAACTGTGCATACCCTTGGGACGAGAATCACTGCAGAGGTGAGTGTAGTGCAAAGTAGAGCCTTTATGAACTAGGCTGGTCAGTTTGCCTTTCAAGGAAGTCATGAAATGTCTTTTTCCTGGAAATATGCTAAAGACACTATTCTGCTAATCTCAGGAATGTGTTCCAAATTTTATATTTAAACTCAGGAGACATGTAAGCATCCAGAATATTGATCTTACTGCTCCATAACTAAATTTCTTCCTCTTCAGCATATACTCTCTATTTTAAAAGGATATCAGCTTGATAGGAAAGAGAATTTAGTATTTTTCAGGCTGCATCCTGTCCATGAATTGTAGGGTCAGGTAATGCCTTTTAGAGAAAAAAAAACAGAGAGCTGGAAAAACACAAACAAGCTTTCAAGCATAAAAAGCCTTTCCCAGGGCTGAAAGAAGCAACAATCCTGGAAGACAAATACAATTTTAAAACATTTTTTTTGAGTTATAAATCTCAGGCTATTTCAGAGTCAATTCAACTGTTGCATATGGTGTGAGATAGGATGAGAGGAAGGAGGAATTGTTAGGAAGCATGAAGTAATCACATGGAAAACAGACATATGTAAATCTCTGCCTCTAGAACACGGGACAAGAAGTATTATTTAAACCATCACAACTGCAGTAAAGACTTGCTTCAGTATGAGGTTTTGTAGGAAAAATTCTCATGATTTGAGGAAATTGTTATTCTGTTAAAGCACCCCTACTTTTTAATTGCCTTTTGGGTAAACAAAAAGAATTCACACCACTAATAAATACTCTGATGTCGGGTATATTATGGAAGCTTTCCAGCTAACAAAATTGATCCATAGCTTCCAAGTTCTCAATGTACAAGTAAGCTTCCTCTAAACAATCCTTAGCTTTGATAAATTCAACATTCCCTCTTAAGTGCAATTTCTAGATCTCTTTCCCATCCTTACCAAATGCTTTCTAGAATCTCACCTGGAATCCACACTTCACTCACGTACTGCAGTATTAAAAAAATTAATTCCATGAAAAACATATTGTAATGTGAAGTGTCTTTCCCAATATTTGTAAGTTGCTATATCTGGTGCTGAACAACCTATCATGTTTTATATTGAATGCAAGCTAAATTCTGCTGTAATACTTGCACAGCAGATAATTGAGAGGCAGCCGAAGACTAGATCCATATTGCCAGCTATGGGAGACTGATGCAACCAAATAAGCAATATTTAGCCTTAAAAAGAAAGCTGCTCACAATTGTGCTCAGTTCCTGCAGGCACCCAGAGTTCTCATTTCATCCATATCAATAGCTACATAAATCTGAGCATATTGTGACCTACTTATGCCTAAGCCCTGTAACACAAAAATTGTTAGAAAAGTCAGTTGTGTGCAATTTATTTTAAGAGACCAGAGAAGACATCACCTTTTGCGTAAAAACTTTTTGATTAAAATATCTTCCAAGAATTAAGAAACCTAGATGCAGATAAGAGAACTTCCACAGCACAGGAATCCATACCTCCAACAGTCCAAGCTCTGAAGCAGAAATGTAACTTCTTATTGCAATTCCTTGGGAGTCTGTTCAGTACATGGATAGTTTCAAATAACACACGATGGTGTATAACTCTCTCCATGCACTGTGTGTGCTACTTAGGTGCATAACACACATTTTCAGATGCCAGGAGCCAGATATCTGAAAATATTATCCAATATTTAGGCTACTGCATTTTCTTGTACATAGTCTTAAATGCTTTTCTCCCCCACTAGCAGATGTTGCAGAGCCTCAGCGTAGCAATCTTTCAGTCCCCTAGGACAAGAACATTTACAGAAAAAAAAAAAATCCAACTGGAAAATTTGAGTCTTCAAATAAGAATTTTAAATATGGAAAACTGCCTTGTTCTGATGCTGCCATCTTGTGTGTTTTCATATGAAGTACTAGCCAAAATTCCCATATGATTTGGGTTGGTTGGTTCCCCCTTCCTTTTTTTTTTTTCCTCAACTGACTTGATTACCGGACTCCTAAAACAGGAATATATCTATGCTAAAGTTCCCCATGTTGAATTAGGTATAACAGCCTCACACAATAGACACAGCCATTACATATCCAAGAGATGTGAAAACAAACAGCACAGTCATTCATATATCTGATATCACTGTGATCATATTTCACTTTTAAAGAAGAACTAGCTGATTTTAAATCTAGGTTTTCTTCCATGGACATCAATGGGAATGTTGCCAACAGGAACAAACCATGGCAAGAGAAGCATCATCTGTAGCTGGATTTAACCTATTTAAGGTTAACTTAAGCCTATTTAATTCACAGATTTTGGAATACGAACTGATCAGTTAAGGTTCAGGAGGGAAATCACCCCTCAGCTGAGTCAGCATGCACTGGTCACAGAGTTCCACCTGCCACTGAATTATCATATGGTAGCCACTAATGACAGGGAATTAGACAAATCCCATTGACATACTGGTCTAGTCTCCAGTGCCATTAAGTCATTTTATTAATATGGCACTTGCATGGCAATCACCATAATTTGCTTTGTTGAAATACATTATCAAAAGCGTGGAAAATAGTAAGTCTTATCGTGATCCTCATTTTTTCTTTGCAGAAAAGAAAAGAACTGGATTGTTTGAACAAATCACCAAAACTCATGGGACAATCATTGGTATCACATCAGGGATAGTTTTAGTTCTTCTCATCATTTCAATTCTAGTGCAAGTAAAGCAACCTCGCAAAAAGGTCATGGCTTGCAAGACTGCCTTCAATAAAACCGGTTTCCAGGAAGTATTTGATCCTCCGCATTATGAACTCTTTTCACTAAGGGACAAAGAAATTTCTGCAGATTTGGCAGATTTATCAGAAGAACTTGAGAACTATCAGAAAATGCGACGCCCTTCAACAGCTTCCAGATGCATCCACGACCACCACTGTGGCTCCCAGGCCTCGAACATAAAACAGAGCAGGACCAACCTGAGCTCCATGGAACTGCCCTTCCGCAACGACTTTGCGCAGCCCCAGCCGATGAAAACATTCAACAGCACCTTCAAGAAAAGTACTTACACGTTCAAACAAGCTCACGAGTGCCCTGAGCAGGGTATAGAAGACAGGGTGATGGAGGAGATTCCATGTGAAATTTATGTGAGAGGAAGGGAGGATACGGCACAAGGTTCATTATCTATTGACTTTTGACTTCCTGGTGAAGGTGGTATCAGTGTATATACAAGATGCTTGTGTACAATGACAGTGTATATATTAAAAGTGTACCATATGCAGCGTGTGAGATGCACACACTTTTAGCTTATTATACTTCATTTAAAAAAACCCCAGTCTTCATAACTAATTCTTGCTGAAAAATGAGGAATTTCCTCCCATCTTCCCAAGCTACCTATCTAGTGGAAGAGTAAGACAGAGACTTTGCATGGAAATTATAAGAGAGGATATTGGAAGAAAAAACCCTACAACTACTAATCATTGAACACTGAAAACAATGGCTACTATTTTCTTCTGGCTACCATTTTTCTCTTCTTTAGACGTCTGCTTTTGAAGACAATTTTAATACCTCACTTGCATAAATAAAAGTAGTTAAGTGCACCCCGTGTATGTCAACATAGGTGTCTTATTGTATTTGTCAAATTGGAAGTAGAGTTAGTGTTAAGTGCCAGTTAAGACTCAAGAATTATGTTACAGCCATCTGTTTCACTTGCCTACCATTTCTATTGCCTTTAATTATCAGTTCCGCACTCTATCCATTGTGAGAAATAAGTGAAAAGGGTTACTGCCTTTTAAAAATACTAAGTTATATTTTAGTACATTTGGAAATACATAATCTTTGCAGCTTTTGGTTAAAACACAAGTGAGTAGTTGTGTTATTCTAGATGCAGACTTTTACAACAGTTTTCTTTCAAGGTTTAGGATTCTAAAATATTCTGCCATATATTACAGCTCCATATGGCACGATGATTTCACAGCTCTGCACTTGGGAAACAATTTTGTGCCTGCGTTTTCCAAGTATTTACATAAATAGACTGTACTGTACATTTGTCTCTTAAAATAGCCTTTTACTCCTTGTTGCAGCCAATCTTCCCTACTGAAATCAGTGGTGATACTTTTAGCTTGTGTCCTACTTGCCTGAAGAGAACTGCTCTGAGGTCTGTGTGATTACCAGATCTATGAAGATACTGGAAACAGAGAATTCACAAAGCAACTCTTATTAACCCTTATGGAACCCTTCTTGTGCCCCTTGTTTCCACTTGCAAAATTGCACATTTCATACCTTTTTTAATGGTGGTTTGGACCTAATTTTAAAATTTTTACAATATAAAAAAAATTTTTAAAATATATTCTCATTGTGGTTTTTAAACTTTTTATATAGTGTGATACTGTACAGACTATTTATTATATCACAATCTAGCACCTGTACAGCAGGCTTGTTTCAGTGGCCCTCTTAGCAGCTCTGAGTAACACGCAGTCGCTGTTGCACACATCACAATTTGCCAACAATACTTACCATGACTTACACATTAGTCTACATTTTATTTCCCTATTGGTTTGAGCTTATTCTGGTATTTTTTGTACATGAAACCTTTCACTAAAGCTGACCTGCCACCTTGCACTGGGCACAGCCTTTATTTACAGGTGTCAAACCATAGTGTTTGTTGTGCTGACTGTAGTACAAACAAAAAAAAAATTATCTTAATATATGACGTTAGCAATTGAAAAATCTTTAAAATAGAAGATGAACAACAGCTGCAATCACAGATGTTCATTAGAATGACAAAGCATTTTTGTAATCTTTTTTACAAATGCTTAGAATGTATGACATTTTCGGGAAAAAAAAAAAAAAGAGGGGAATTGAGTTTCTTCAACACTTCCCAACTGCAAAGTTACTGCTGTCTGATGTCCAGAAAGAACTCATCAGAAGCTCATATATCAGACCCATCAGGCTGTATCCTGGTGTCAGTTTTTGTGCTGGTCCCAGAATGTATTCCAATTTGAAGGTATGAAAATGGGCATTATTTTTAGATGCACTTCACGCAGAAGATAAGTGTTAAAAAAAAAATCTAGTAAAGTTTGACTTGAAAAATTTTTGAATATTTAATTAAAACATTTGACAGATTTCATTTACTTTCAGTAATATTTTCAGTAAATTTTACACTTTCAGTAATAAATACCTCACCATGACCTGTAAGACACAGAATGTTATTTCTGACAGTCTGTTAGTTCCAGATTCTTTTTACAAGTATGTAATTTTACACAGGTCATTTTTATCTATATAACTCCTGTAAGTGCTAGGTTTGCATGATTAAGTTTTCTTTTTGAGCTACATTTATCCATGTGATAAAAATAACATGATCCCTACTGTTCCCTAAGTTATGTTGTCTCTGAACAGTAAACCTGTATTAATAAAACAAATTGCAAGCCTCCAAAGCCCAGGGCTGTGGGGAAAAGGGAACAGCTCTATGGAAGAAGTTCCCAAATGGCTTGGATAATATTTCAGTCTCTCATCATTTTCCAAATCCCTGGTCAGAGCACAGGTGCTTTTTGGCTACCCCAGAGCACACAGATGAGCTCCCACAGCCAGTCATGTCTTTTGAATGCAACTTTTCCCGATATCCCAAGTCCACCTCTACAAGCTTTGCTTTCTCCCCTTCTTTGCTATCTGTTCTGGCTGCTTGTCTTTAGGATTAAAGTCAAGACACTCCTGCCTGTTTTAACACCTGCTCCAGCTTCCCAATACAGAGCAAAATTCTCCTAGAGGGAGCTTTCCTGTATTACTGCAATAGCAGACACAACCCTTACTGTGGCAATAGGTGCACACAAACCCAAAGGAATAATGGTTTCTCTAGGCTTCTAGACATAGTAATGGCAAGAAAATGAAGTATTGGTGCCAAGTGAAATTAGCATTGAACCTAAAATTCTGAAACGAAAACTGGTGCACGGTGTGTTTAAAGAATAATAATGCCTACACATCTCTGGCAGTGTTGGGTTCAGTTACTTGGCTGTGCTCTAAGAAATGAGAGTTAACTATTACAGCCATAATTCCACTTCCACTATAATCAAATTCCTTTCACTACAGAGAAAAACTAACTGGGTGGACTGATTGGTATCACTCAGAGTACAGAAAGCTGGCATTTTCAGCAAAAGAATCTAGTATTCGTTTTGCAGTCTCAATCCAGTTGATGTTGTAGTCTTTAAACTCTTTTTGGCATTAATGAAAAATACCACCTTTCTTATATGTGCAATATCTAAGTACTTTTAGCCTTTTTCCATTGTCTCCATCTTAAATTCATACATTTCTAGGACCATCCTGATTTTGCACTCAGTTGTACCCATATCTGCAGTACCATCTGTTAGCTCTGAATGCTCGTTAGCAAAGATCTGCTCACAAGACACACACTGACCAGGAAAAGACCAACAGCAGGAACTACTTTTTGGTATTTATAATTAATTTTTACCTTTTATCATAGTAGCTTAGACAGCAAACTATCTAATATGAATAAGGAATTGTGATAAAAATTGTATAAGTAAACATAAAACCAACATGAAAATAAAGGTGACTGTGAATCACGACTCTTGCGAGCGCTGTGAGGAGACATCTACATTTACAGACATGACAACAGTGGTACAGGAGACTGAGGCTTAACACAGTTCCTGACTCTGAAATATATCAGTGATGGCAGAAAAACCAATTTGTACTTAAAATGCATGAGATTCTCTTGTCTGCTATAGACAAGATGACCCTCATAGCACATACAAATTACAATGGCATATTATAAGAATTACTGTCTGTTTTTACTAAACCAGTACAAGGGAGGGTTGTGAAAAGAACTCATTGATTTACAAGAAAAGGTGCTTGTTGTGTGAACACATCACAGAACTTTTAAGTCATTAAAATACACTTTGTTTTGGTTTTTACTTGGTACAAAGAATTCTGTGTGTTACCAGCACATTTGCTAAATGAGGAAAAAAGGCTTGCAAAACAAATTAAATAAGGTTCTTACATCTTTGTTCAGGACATTGAAGTTTCTAAACTATGTAAGTATAGTCCTTTATCTGAAAGGATACCAAGCAGAAGTAGTAAAAAAAAAAAAGAATCTTGGCACCTCTACCTGGGAAGCCAAGAGTAAATTACTGCTTGAAATGCAACAACTTAATTCACGTGGATATACAAAAGCATATCTACAGTCTGACCCTTCTGTATGGTCAGGCTCTATATACCTGTTCACATTAAAACTCAGTCAAATCCATTTACTTTTACATGTCCTTATTTCAAAGTTTATGCATAAGCCCTATGATTTCTCAGAAGGTCTGTAGACTGTTTATCAAAACAAGATTCCTAATCCATGTCAGTCTGAAAGATAAGCTGATTTTACACTGAGATCACACTGCTAAAACTGAATATTAATTATAATGGGAGAAAGGATTTTAAAATGAAAAACCTGGATGAGTTAACTCATGCTTTGAAAATTAGTATTTACACCACCCATCTCAATCTAACAATATAAAAGCTACTATCTTTAAGACTTCTGTTCCTGTGGTGTCTAATAACTATCTCAGTACAGCATAAATCCCCCCTACAAATACATAAATCACATGCCAATATGCTGTAATATGTGGTTCAGTGTGACCATGGAACTGCAAGTTTATTTTCATGCTCAGATTCTTTGCTACACTCCATTTTACACAATCAGCTTAACAAAAGTCTTTTTCCATCTGTTTCATAGATCAACAACACTAATTTCTGAATGGTCAACTTGTTCCCTCTTATCTCTTTATGGAAGATAATCTACCATATACCAGATAAAACAGCTTAGTTTTTATAAGTCTGTTCTTACAGAGCCAGGCTCAGGAGAAACAAAGTAAGATCTTGATGTCTTTGTCTTTCCACTACCATCCCATAATTTATGGTAATAACGTGTATAGTGGAGATACCCTTAAAAACTTCATGCTAAATTCAGTTGAAGAAAAAAGAAAGTCTTACAATATAAACCAAATAATCGGTACCTAAGACCTACACACCTCAAAATTCAAAATAATTTGCTCTTTTGGAATCTAAATCTGAAGGATATGAGCTGTCAGTGCTACCAGTGTACTTAAAAGATGCATGTCACACCATCTTCTCTGAAAAACTGCTTCTTGGCCCAAACACAGATTTCCTAGACATTTTTAAAGTGTTAAAACTTATACTACTATTTTATCAATTTATATATAAATATATGCATATTACATCTTATAATTAGCCTCACAGTTCATTATCACCTACATAAAGTTGCTTCTGTCTTCCTTCCAAATGTATTTAGGAGCAGTAATTATATTGCAAAATATTTCTCATTAAACCACAGCATTTCAGACTTTAAACACTATATTAATTCTGAGACTATACTGCAGCTTATTTTTCACCAGAGAAGAGGCTACAAAGAAAACTCAAAGCTCACAGAATTATCTCCTTGACCTAAAATGAACATGGCTAAACTGGAACAGAGCACATCGGTGCTCTAAAACTCAAGGTTTAGTATTTTATAGGGAAGTAATATCAGAATTAAAAGGGCCTGTGTTGTTTTGTGAGAGGATTTAGTTTGCCCTGGTTTGCTCATAACACTTGTCTTTAATACATTCACCTGTGAATAACACAGGACTCCAGGGCTTAAGCTGTTTGCAGACAGGAGAGGAGTTGAAAATCAGAGAATTCTTTGTTTAAAATACCAAACAGGAAACGATTAAATATTAACCACTGGACATTTCTGATACGGTGTTTAACTTGCCCTTCAATGCAGTTGAATTAGTCTCAAGGTAATAAAGCCCACAATTCTGCCTATATTTTAGGTTCCCTCATATCAGTAAAGACCCTCATACTCCTCATAAATTGGAAAAAGCCACCTGCTAGTCCTGAATTTATGGACTAACATTCTCAGTTACTATTGATTATTATAGAAAAAGATGATCTAGTGATTATTGGGGGTGAAAAAAGCAGGAAAATACTCTTGAAAGCAATTATGAGATAAAAGATTCTTAGAAAGACAAGTCAATAAATCCCAAGTCTCTTAACCATTGTAATCAATCTTCTATTTGTAAGGAACAAACAGCCAAGCTACATAAGGAATACCACTCATTACTGGCTCTCCACTGCAGGTTTAATAACCCAACAGAGCAATTGAAGGCCTGAGGCCAAGGCAAATAATTTTAATCTTTCTGTAGTAATGAAAAACAAAGAGATCTAGTAGAGTGAAGATATTTGTTTTGCACTTACCGGAGGCAAAAGATTCTGGACAGGACATTTAATCTTCTATCATCATTAAGTGTTATCTTTAACAGTAAAGGGAATTCTGGAATATAAAAGAACAGCACAAAATATCTATGTACAATTCAATTGTATAGCAAACAAATCAAAACTAACAGATACTTAAAATAATCTCATATATTAGGTATTTTCTAGAACTCTGTATGACTCCTAAGGTTATCACATTCTCGCAGACATCTCTGCATTTTGTCTGTTGGCAGATTTGAATACAAGCTCTCATATATTAAATCTGTGCAAGAGAAGTAGTAATAAGAGAAAATGAAGTTCTTGGCCTTTAAGATCCAGAACTAATAAAGCTGCAGACTTGGAAAGTTTTACTGTACTGCACTTCCCTCATGAGAGTAAAAGCAAGGACAGACATTAGCATAAGGAAAAGACATCCTTTACTTGAACTATCAGAATCCAAACATGACTTATTGTTAGAACAAAGTTTGGGTGTTTGTTTCTGTTACTTTGTTTTGTTGGTTTTTTAATTGCAGTTCCAACTTCCCTTTAGTTATTAGCATCATAAGATAAAACGTCTTCTAAACCAAATGTGGATTTTTTGTCCACAAAGAGCTATAATAAGAAGATTTAAATATTGCATTGCTGTGTTTAAAATTATGAAATAGTTGGTTTTAATGTCAATTTATAAAAGTATAAAAAGCTGCATTACCTACATTTGTGGAATAGTTTACATTACAACAAGTCACCAGATGTGTAACATCGAGATTTAATGACATTTTAGCACCACCTATAACACTACTGCAGCTGGCAAATACTAATGCTCAACAAGAGAAATAAAAAGCATAAACCCACTTCTTTTTCAGTACTCTCTCTTCCCCTCAGGAACACAAATAAAGGCTACCAACTGTTCTTTAGCAACAGTACCAAACACGCAGCTCAACCTA